GCCACAGAAAAACACAGCAGATATTTGGACCACATACGTAGGCATTCGTCTCTTATCTGTCATTTTAGGACAAACGCTGTACTACAACTAGAACGAGGAAATTCAAAAATCCATAATAATGTGATGCTAACGGTTTTCCGTTTACCATTGGGTTCTTTGGGTTTTATGGAGCATGAAAGAAATCCTTTATCATTCCACTGCTTCTCATTCCATGCCGGGACGATGCAAATCGCTGTGAGGCTTTCTTCTACAACGTACCACAACGGTCTCAGTAAAAGCAGTAAAATCCATACTTACCAACCAAATAGGAGTCCCGTGATCTTTTGGAACACCAATGGATTTGTGCATTAACGACCGGCCTAGGTAGGCTGTTCCAGTTTATATAATTTCCACTAGTTCATCCGAGTTGAGCTTTCTCAATCAATCGCACTCTGCCCGTGTTCAAGGATTGACCGCATATGGAATGTGCAACGTTAACGTGTATTTGTCATATATCCCAAATGGACTACATATCAGTAAGTTAATACTAAACACGTGAAGAGGGAGAATCACCAATGTCATCTCCGAAGGAAACATGACCCATCTGCTTCACCATTTCCAGCGTACAGGAAAATGTCTCCCGTACAGGCAATAAGAAAAGTGGCAACAATGCAAGATAATTGTGCTTCAGATCTACATTATATGCGGTGAAACCCTCAGATTGCATTTTATACGACATCACAGTGTTGAAATTGGTAGTAGGTGACCGTTTGGCGTTTTCTCTAAAAGAGAAGACCTGTCTGCTTTTCTACATTTTACCAGAGTAAACCAGTACCGTTAGTGCGTTTTTCCATCTTTCCTTCAGTTTTGCATTCATGTGACTATTAATCGAACTACACTTTTAGATGTATCACGTGAGTGAGTTCGAAGATGCGAGCGTCGCGGCGGCACATTCCACTTGGATGCTGGGAGAAGCGCAAGTTCGGTGTCTATTTGCCTTCTAGGCAAATAGAGGAATTGATAAACAACAGTCCGCTACCTACGTCTGCACCACTGTACAAAGTGCGGACTCACAAAGCCACTGGTAAATCGATGCCATATCACCACATTTTAGATGACTACGAGAAAGCGAAACAGCTGGAGGTTGAGTTGCTTGAGCTATTTGAGCCACGGTCCAACGACGCAACTTGCTCCAAGGAGCGGTGCAGAAAACGTAAGACGTAGACACAAATTCAGCTATATTTTTAGCAGTCCTGTTTGTTTCTCAGCATGCGAAACTCCAATAAAGAAGTCTTGTCTTACTGCCGCCTAGAGCGTGGACATCGAGTATTCACCCCAACCACCCAGGTTGGAGTTGGGATATTCGCCGCAAGGAAACAAGGAAAATAAACATCCAAGAAAAACAGGGAATTTAAAGTAACATTTCCGCGGCATAACAATGGAACAATGGTGTATTACGGGTAAAAAATCAATGCTTAGCAAGACCCGTGGGATGAAATTATTGCGAAAATAAAATTTCATGGTAAAGTGAAAAGCGTTTTGGTAAACTCACCAGAGACTTATGTAGGATAGTGGGGATGTCCGCGTACTAGAAGTATAAATCCATAAATCCATTGATTGGGAGCTTGGTAAGACACTATTTGATTGCGTTTTGTAGCTCCTGGCTAACAAGTTAATTAATGTTCTAGTTCTGATTGTTTCTGTCAGACATTCAATGCTGCGAGGGCATTGCACAAAACAGTCGAATATACCAATAAAGCGGTTTGTAGTAAGTTTTCATGTATTAGTCTGCTACAGTCTGTTTCGATCACCTGACGCATGAGTTCGTTCGCATGTGCGAACATATGTATGCCATGGAGTTGAGGTTAGACTCTATGGATTGCCACATGGTCAATGACAGGACAGCTGCCATCAGTCCTCTGCCTCTGCCAATGGACTCAGTCGAAGAGTTCCTTACGTTAAAAAAACGCGAAGATATGGAGAAATTGGTAAGGACCAAAACCATATATCACGTTTCAAACGGCCTATTTCGGGTAACTGGGCGGAATGTGTCAGGAACGTACTGCTAGCGGTAATGGCAGACGCCCTAGCAAGGAAAGTGCATCAGCGACGTGTTCACACAAAGCACTGAATTTCAGGCACCCCCTTGGGGCCCGTGCCATAATCGGTAAGCCGTGCTATCGCATAAAACAACCTCGGTTTCAAACGCTGCGATGTGCAAAAATTTCGCCGGATGCACTGAAAGTATGATCGGTGGTAAAATTCGCTGTTGGATACAGCGAATCAGAGAGCGAGACAATTACCAACCGAAATCGCGTGTCACACCCGGGCCAAGTACAAAAACGCTGTAGTAGTGGTTTTCATTACGGTTTATTTAACCTTTCGGTTTTTTTATAAAAATATGAATGGGTAATATTGTTTCGTTTTATAGCGAACTAATACAGGTGCTAGCGTGCGGGAAAATTCGATACAACGATTGCAGTTAGCCCAAACATTTGGGGCAAGGGGACAACTTTTCCGTCCCTCACGAACGCGTTCGTGCTAATAGCGGAGAGTGTGTAATGCACGTTTAGGGATTAGGGAGTTGCAGTGCGATAATGGCGTATGTGCTTCCTAAGCTCGATACATTTACACTTGGTAATAATTTAAGACTCCTGGGGGTGTGTACGTGTGCACCATTGTAATGATCGTGGAGCTGCGTTAAAAGCGGTGGAAATTGGTTAACCGTGATTTGTGGAAGGCTGTTCCCATACTTTGCTGAGCGTCCGAATTTAGTCACATTTGGGACTAAATTCAGGCGCTCAGTACCGAAAACAACATTTCCACACATGGGAATAATTTATGGCGTCCAAGAGGTTGTTTGTGCGTAACCATGCAATGGTTGTCGAAGTGCGTTAAGTAATGGAAAAAAGTTACACATGTATGGGTAAATGCACCTGCAATATTAAACGGACCGCCTGAATTTAGTCACATTTTGGACTAAATTCGAGCTCATGACCGCCCGAAATTTGTATCTTCCGGACTTTTTCGGGCACCTAACGGGCGTTCGTGCCGACAGGGCTGTCCCCGCCGTTCAATATCTCCGACGATGGGAGACAAGGGTGCCCGCTGTCACCTTTCCTCTTTAAGTTCGCCAGTGACGAAGTCACGGAAATAGTATTTTCCGGACACGACCTAGGTGTGGAGATACTTCCTGGTGAGCGATTTCTTGACTAAGAGTATGCGAACGATATTGCCCTAATCTGTGACAGCACCCAAACGTGCCAAACAGCACTGGTTGTCAATTGTATTGGGCTATGGTTTGCTCCCTAGATTAGCAGGGACGGCCCCCTACGCTGACTCTTCATGGTGATCAACTAGAAATCGTTCAGGAATTCAAGTTCCTGAGCAGCCATATTGTCGTTCGTGGGATTGAAGATGAAGTTACAAACCAACATAGCAAAAGCTCGAGGTGCTTTCGCCAATCGCTGCCACCTGTAGCGCCGACGCGACATCACCCTCGCCCTGAAGGGCAGAGTTTATAATGCAGCCGTCCGTTCAACCCTCCTATACCGTTGCAAAACCTGGTCCATTAGATCGAAAGACATAAAGGCGTTCGACCATCGTGGCTTTCGCAGCTCAGCACATGTCTGGAGGGAGCACCGCGTGAGTAGTGGAGGGGAGGCCAAGCAATGACTTGGTCAATAGGAACGAAAGCCCTCATTTCGAAGTTGGCGTTGGTTGGTGTGTTCCGACTGCCGGGCTGGTGTCCGAAGGATTATGAACACGTTTGGTTGGACACACTTGCTGACATGGCTAGGAGCCGACCGTAATGGCGTTTGTATTGTGAGTTTCTTTGTCCATCCCCCTCTTCTATAGATTCCCCTCCAATTACGATCTCATAGCAGATAAATTATATGATATTTAACATTAAATTACTTTTTGAATTATAGTATAATGCTTAGGATCTTGTCTTTTTGTATTGCAGCCCATTAGCCGACGTACATTGATGACGACGAAATACGCGCGTATAGCACTTTCATGAATGTTACATATTTACTAGGCACAGCTTTCCTGTGCAGACAGTCCCAAAGGGTACATCGATCAAACAAATCGAAGGCAGCTTTGGGTCGCCAATAAATACGGCGATGTTCCAACATACGATGTAATGTGAAGATGCGGCCACTACGTACCCCAGGTCGATGAAACCAGGCTTGCTCCTCTTAAACCTGGTTTTCACAGGTGCCGGTCCATGCAGAACGACGGGGGCAAGTAATTTAGAGGCAACTGAGATCAAAATGATCCCCACATGATTTCCGAATTCCGGAAACAAGCTCTCTCTGAATACCATAAGTGCAGTTTCGAAGTAATATGGTTGCATTTCTATCCATAATCACTATTCCTCAAGGTGGTTCCGTGTTTTTAGAAGGATTTGATAATAATCATTTGTTATAGTCTATGGTTGTTTTTAAACTCTTCTAAAATCATGGATTCTTGATCAGTTCCAAGAATATTTTTGTATCCCATCTGTCTCCGTACTCACACACAAGTGAGAGCACAATATATTTAGTGTGGGACAGAAAGAACTTGGAAGGCACGGCAACAAGCGAGTGGAAAGTAGCCGAGCACCGTGAACGCCCTTACAGTAATACAGAATCTCCGGAGTACTTAACATTCTAGATGTAATACTGGCATGAACCCTCGATAGAAATCAGTCTTCGTGGAACGTGTACAACGTGTAGCAATGAATGTCAATTCCCCGTGCACACAATTTATCCTCGTCCTGGGTGACATGCGATGAAAACGCGAACGAGTATTTATGATCGATGAGCTTCTAGCAGTACAGCACTTTAATTGTCGATGGATGTTCATCTGTCAGGACAACTGATTGCCCGATGATCTGTCCCTACGTGGGAACAACCTCTTGCGATATCGAGAAAAAGATTTAGATCCTTATTTATGACAAACGTCAGGATCATAGTAGTTCATTTAATATTCGATGCACCAACAGGTAGTTTATGCAAAACATATGTCCTAGTTACCTGAACAAGTGGTTGAATGCTCTCCGGTATCTCCACATGTCCCTGCATATTGTCGAAGACTAAGCTCGTGTGAGGCATGGATGCCTGACGTTCCGACGTGTTCTGTAATGATTGAGTCGAGGTTACTGTTTGTGACTGGCGCCGCTGTCCGTGTTGCTGCTGTGGAAAAACATACTCCGCTTGAGATTGTGAGAGGCGAATAGGGCTACCGATTGAAACAGAAGGAATCGGTTGATGATACATTTGAGTTTGCCTTCCCTGTATGATGTGTCCCTGTTCGTTGATTTGGCCAGAAAGCTATGCAAGGAAATGGGGAAAGCAAAGCAAAGGTAATCCACCGCGCATCAGGCTGTTGCAAAAAACCGACGAAGGAATGGGTCGCATCGTTAGAAGGTTCGATGTGAAATATTCTTCAACGGCTCAGATACAAACATTTAGTTGGTGTGTCCATTATCAGAACAAGCAGGATCAAAGTTGTGTGGACTCAAAAATCACTGAGATCGTAGAAACATAGCACAACTGTGACATGGTAGAGAGCAATAACGGATAGGTACATGTATTAGGCAGAGAATTCAGCCAAAATAGACCAATGCTTACAATGACGCATGTTCGATCAAACTCGAGAGAGTGCGCACGATCATGCAACTATCGTTGGTTGAGTGCGACGTAATGGGTAAGTGAGGGTTTGTTGATATGACATTACTAATTTGCCAGAAGTAGTTTCAATGACAAAACATGTGCGCGCAGTTAACATAATGGAGACTGCCAAAAGAGTGATTTTGGTGTTGGATGCGAGAAAATCAGTCCGGATTCGGATAAAATCCAATGTGTTGACCCAGACTAGTCGGTCGGAAGTTCATATGAATTAGATGGAAAATGGAAAGGTTCGGAACAAAGGAAGGACATTCAGAGTGTAGAAGGTGAAACTGAGAAAGAAACAAGCACTTCTCAAGCAAATCAGGAAGTCCACTCGGCGAAGTGGATCTACCTAAATGCATGAATAACCAGACATACACAGAAGGCGAAATAAAGTGCTTGAACTGACATAAAACGAAAAATTCTCTGTGCTACACAATGCCTTGATGGATAAGTGGGTAGTCCATATAGCCCTAAGGCTAACTCTGCTGGATTGCAGCTAGGCTCCAATGGCACATACTCGTTTATCTCAGCTGGACTTAGTCAAGTGTTGAGAACGATGATTTCCGTAGAATGATCGAGGAAAAGTGCAAATAAACTAAATGGGAGACATGCTGCCATAGAACATAGAATGTAAAAATAAACCCGAGCACAAGGTTGAGATACGCCGGAAACGTTTAGTGATCGATGTGGGGTAACAATACCTTGAATAAAGTTAGAGGTAATCCAGATCGTTAGTGGCCAAGGGCCAAACAATCCCAGTCACCTCAAGAGTGACAGAGTACTTACCCACTAAACACCACCAGGGACTCGGAAGTTCGGGTATCTGGTACTACTCGGCGCAGCGAGTGCCGAGGTCATAGAAAGAAGTAACGCACCATGCTAGTAGCCAAAAACTCAGTAACTAAGGAGTGAGCTGTTGGGAATAGGAAGTGACCCGTGGCATTCAAGCGTCCAGCTCTACAATCAGCTGTAATGGCCGGTCAAATGTCATTTAAGGTAGCCGCGTGTTGAGCTCTAGGAAGATCAGCATAAGTAAAAGAGAAACGAGAAATATAACGCGATAAAAGTTGTGAGTTCGGTAAATGACGCACACAGTCATGAGTGATGTCAAAGGATTTGGATAACCACCTTACGGGTTTGAACCGAATGTGCCGTTGTCGGTGCATGAGTTTGGGCAAGCTGATAAAAATTCATCCAGCCCAAGACAGACAGCCTTTGACTCAAAAAGTGTAAAATAATCGCTAGCGGTCGGCCTAAGGGCTAAATACACATAATAAAGAGAAAAACCAAGAAGGTCCATCAAAACTCACGAGGGACAAACGTGACCGATGGCAGGTACGCCAATGAAAGACTGCGTTTTACGTGCGCTGAGATATTGCCAGGGGGCCCAGACCTAGACGGGAAGATAATTAGGGTGTTCTACCAAAGCATTTGGCTCAAAAGCCTGTCGGCAAGACAGCGGAAAGGTGGCAGTGATATTGTTTGACGGAAATGTACGCCATCCAATTTCCAAGCCTCAACCTGGAGGACCAGGTGACTGAGTTTGATTGACCTGTAACCATTGACCAACCTGATATGGGTAGCTGTAAAGCCGCCCGGCGGCACCACCTAGTATAGCGTAATCGTTCAAAAAAGTAGGCAAACCGTCGCATAAAGTTAAGGTCCAGTCCCGTTGCAACGAGTCGTATGACCAATGTATCTTGCTCAACAGGGACATGTGAATTAGTAGAAGCATTTGAGATTTTGTGGGGCGGGAGATCCTATAGTGCGCTGAGGCTGGTTGTCGCTAGATCGTGACAGATGATCTACACACTGCTGCTACTGTTGCGCCATTGGCTCATGTCCTGGGCGCCTCCTCGTGGCGACCGCTGGGTGGGAGTTGGATTTCGCCCTTCTCCCTGTTAAGATCCAGGACACCAATCCGCATGAGTCAGTGAACTGACCATGTGCTAGATCTGCTACCTTTCGGGTGTACATTTAATCGAAGTCTTTTGCTGATGATCGGAGTCGTTCTCCTGTCAGGTGTTGACGCCCATCCAGTATCCTAGTCCATCCTCTTCGGAGATTAGGAAGTGGTCGATCGCCCTCTTCAAGTAAAACATAGCCATGGGAGACAACAGGCCTACGGATTATAACCTCACAGCTCGATTAGCGTAGAGCACGAGCGTCGCGAATTGTCTCTGACGGTGGGAGGACACCTCCGGGTGTTCAATGGTTTGCTACTGCCCGCCTCAAGCCAGGCAGCCCTTGGTCAACTCGGTGCAAACCCGCAACAACCCACCTGCGTCTGGCCGTGGTCGCAGGTGCTTATCCTATTACGGTCGCAAAACATATATGAATCGTTCCAGTACCTCCAACGCTGCGTGTGACGGCCGTCAAGCAGATCCCAATATGTCTCTGCAATCACATTCTCGAGCTGGATCTGCTCCGCACTGCCTTGTGGGTCAGGCTATTGAGCCAAAGGCTCCGGGCGGAGTCCCTCAAACAAACCTCCAAACCGCCCACTGCCTCGTGGGTCAGGCTATTGAGTCAAAGGCTCCGGGCGGAGTCCCTCAAGCAAACCTCCGAAGCACAACGACCATCTCGCGTGCGATTGCCCACCAATGCAATCGTATGCATGCGCGTAAAGTACTCAGCATCGGGTGCTGGAACGTGCGCACACTATTGGACCGGAACTCCAGCGTGCGCCCGGAGCGACGCACTGCACTGGTCGCGATGGAACTGGCGCGCTACCACATCGATATTGCGGCGCTCAGTGAAACCCGGCTCGCTAAGCAAGGTAAGTTGCATGAAGCAGATGTTGGCTACACATTCTACTGGGTGGGCAACACAACCTCAGCACCACGTGATTATGGGGTCGGATTTGCAATATCCGATCGCTTCCATGGCCAACTGGTGGGTGAGCCAACAGGCATCAGCGCGCGACTGATGACTGTTCGTCTACGACTCGGGAGAGGTAAGTTTGCCACCTTTATAAGCACGTACGGTCCGACCATGTGTTATCCTGATGACACGCATGATCTATTCTACACTCAGCTATCCTCCGTGATACGGTCTGTGCCGAGGAGCGACCGACTATTTCTTCTGGGTGATTTCAACGCGCGCGTTGGGCGTGATGCATCGGTGTGGACAGATGTTATCGGTTCGCATGGCATTGGTTCAGCGAATGCGAACGGTGACAGGCTGCCCTCACTGTGTGCCACTCACGGCCTGACGATCACGAACACTCGGTTTGCACTGAGTGCAAGTGATATAGCAACTTGGACGCACCCACGGAGTGGTCACGCTCACCTGCTCGACTATGTCATCGTACGTCAGCGTGATATTCGTGAAGTGCGCATGACATGTGTACTGCGTGGAGCTGAGTGTGGCACTGATCACAAATTGGTTCGGACCAAACTATACATATATTTTCGTAAATCTATGTATTGCACTCCCGCCGTGAATCGGCGTAAATTTAACATTCTCTCCCTCGGTACTGTGGCGAAACGTACTGAGCTGGAGAAGGCGATGGCTGCACGGTTGTGATGTGGACTGCATAGCCACAGTGGGCGACCTGTGACACCACATTCGCGACCAGGTGATAGCTGCTGCCGAGGAGGCCATCCGGCGCGTAAACTCTAAGCGGCCTGATTGGTTTGATGACAGCAATACGACGATTGGCGCATTGGTGTCGGGGAAGAATGCAGCATTTGCCGCACATGTGGCAGACCCCAGTGACATGAGGAAGAGTAGTCAGTTTCGCAAACTTCGACGGTGACTGACTCGAGAGCTGCGTCGCATAAAAAATGCATGGTGGACGGAGAAGGCGAAGCAGAAGAAATGCTACGCCGAACGCCGCCAACACAAGGAATTCTTCGACTCCTTGAAGGCGGTGTATGGACCGAGATTGGAGCCTCTGATGACATTGATGGATGGTCGTTCAGGTGCTACCTGCACCCAGACTGCAGACATAATGCAGATCTGGCGAAAACACTTTGACTGTCACTTGAACAACCGTTCAGAGATCGACGGGCCTACACTGAACGGCCTAAAGCAGCACGATGTGAAATCGAGTCTGGCGGACACGCCGACACTGGATGAGTCGCAGAGAGCACTTGCTCAGCTGCGAAACGGCAAGTGTGCTGGGGTCGACGGAATCCTGACTGAAGTATTGAAACGTGGCGGACCTACGTTGGTGACTGCGCTGCACCAGTTGGTGCAACGCGTTTGGATTGAGGAGGAGGTGCCTACTGAGCTGAAGGATGCCCTTGTGCTACCACTGTACAAGGGCAAAGGGAGCAAGCAATGTTGCACGAATTATCGTGGCATCAACTTGCTGAGTTGTGTGGGCAAGATGATTGCCCGAATCCTGCTCAACCGCCTCGTCAGTCAGGTTGTGGAACCGAACGTGGTGGAAGAGCAGTGTGGATTCCGCTCGGGTCGCAACACTATAGATATGGTGGTTGCGGCTCGTCAGTTGCAGGAGAAGTGCAGAGAACGACACCAGCCTTTGTACTCGCTTTTTGTTGATTTCACCAAGGCATTTGATACGGTGAACCGCGAGGCATTGTGGCTGGTGTTGGGTAAGTTTGGTTGCCCGTTTAACTTTGTAAGTTTAATTGAATGTCTGCACAGTGGTATGCGAGCGAGGGTGCAGATGAGTGGAGAAACCTCGG